CTCTTTGAAATCGTTATATGTTTCTGAATAAAAAATAATATTTCTTAGTTTTATAATTTTATCAAGAAAAATAAAAAAAGATCAAATAGCTTGAATATTATATAAATTTGATACCGATTTCTATGCTTACATGCTTTGAAAATCTCAGGTACCAATGTAAACGTTAAATAATTTTTCATTCGTCATTGGCTCTTTATGCATAGTTACTTTCTTCTTATTTCATGTTTTGTAAATACAAATATTTTATATTTTATTTATACTTACGTGCTTTCTCTATATTTCACTCGCATTACCCTGCAAACTGAAAGACAAATTGTTTATATTCATTTCTCCCACATTGACATTTAAATTTTTTTCATTCCGGTGAATGGGGAATATTGTTACTATCATTTCGCCGTTGTAATCGTTCTGGGTGTGAACAAGCTAACTGACTAAAGTCGCGTACAACATCGTTAAATGTTTCATCCCCAGTAACGCCTATTTCAGAATCTTTCATCTCTTCGTTTAACAGTCCAAGTCGTAATCTATAAAATACATAATAATAATAATAAGAATAATAATAATAATAATAAAATTTTCTTACTTAAAAATATATTTATACTTACAAAGTAACAATATCAGCATTAGCTTCCTTTACTGCAATCGATAAAGGTTTTACACCACTTTCATCTTTAATATGTTGATCTGCACGATGTTTCAATAGCAAACATACTTGGGCCGTATGTCCTATACATTAAAAAATAATATATATATATATATATATATATATATATATATATATATATATATTTAAATAAATCTATTGTTAGTAAACAAACCTAATTCCGTAGCTAAATATAAAGGAGTTTTTCCATCTGCATCTTGACAATTGATACGAGCACCATTTAATAGAAGATATTCGCAGGACATCACAGAACCCTAAAATAAATGGAATTTAAAAATTATTCAGAAATAAAGACAATCATAATAAATAATTGATAATTATTAAAGATTTTACGTACGCTTATTATAGCTTGATGTAAAGCAGTACGACCTCTATCGTTAACGTTTGACCATAATTTATCTGCTCCTGCAGCTAAAGCAGCACACATAACAGGTAAATTATGTGCAGCTGCTGCTTTATATAATAACATTTCAGGATGTAAATTTTCTATGTCTTCTTCATCGGCAAATTCTTCATCTTCACCAGCTGTTGAATCCTGATCTGAACTTAATTCTAAACTTCCATCGATCATTGATTTTGGTAGATCACATCCAAACATCAATACATCAGATAGCATAATTTTCTCAGTTTTTTGCATTTCCAAGTCATTATTTTTATCATTTGATATATCACTTATATCAGAGGTAATATTATCACATGCATTTTCTTCAAATTTTGACACATCGGTTTTAAGTACTTCTTCATTGTTTGCTGCAGATTCCGAATCGATGATTTTACAAAGACTATTATTCTCATTCACGTCGTTATGGGTTTGAGTTAATATTTTTGTATATAGGGTAGAACTATTTTTGATATCAGTACTTGAATTGTCAGACATTGTAGAAACCGTATCCGTTTTTTGCGATATTGATTTCTCAACAGAATTTAAACTTTCTATTGATGTATGTTTACTGTCATCCGAACTTGAACACAAAGCACCCTTGGAAGAATTTAAAATAGTTTTGTTTCGATTTAAAGAATCAAGATCATAACTACGTGGCCTACGACGTAATTTACGAACGCTCCATTTACGAAAATGCATTTGTTCCTGATTAGGCGAATGCTCGTTTGTAATAATATTAGTTAAAGGTTTAACAAACATACGATCTACATATTTAGCTTTTATCCAGGCCTCGCGTATGTTGCTAAAAAAAATAAGAATAATTATTTTTATAATGAAATCTGATATTAATAAATAAAGAAATAAAATTTAAATGATTTTATACCTATTACATTTTGGTGTAGCTTTAATCATATTCGGAGGAATTGGTAACGCCTCGTATACGTTATTTACTACGGTGTTACCTAATTCTGCCATAACTTTCAATATTTCTGGTTCCCAATCGTCTAATGTTAAAGAACGTACTTTGCTATAATGAACTCCAAGGCTCCTATGTACACCGGAACATTCTATAAAAAGAAAAAAAAGAAATGCATATATTATAATATTATAGATAATTAAATTATATCACATGGAAATGAAATTTACCTATGCAAAGTGTAATTCCTAGATTAATACTAGCCCATCTTGAATTTGATCCACCGCAATCACAGCAAATATCATTTCCAGAAATCTTCAATAGTTGTTCCCATACTCTAAAAATAATAAAGGAATATTTTAAAATTTCATTATTTTTTCATTATAAATTTTTACAATTATCATTTTAATATTATTTTACATTCACCTTGATTTAGGTTTAGATGATGGCCGTGATGGACATTTAACATCTCTTAATTGTAATTCTTGTGAACTAGTAGTAGATAAAGTACCCATGCCTCGTTGAATAGCAGCACCAATAGCTTGTTGCATAGCAGTTACCCATGCTAGATATGCTTCTTCGCTATCAGCTTGTAACATATGACTCCTATATTAAAATTATAAATAATAGATAAATGTGATAAGAATTATAGCAAACCAAGTAAATAGAATTATATCTATAGTTACTTTGTTGGACTTAATACTTCAAAGCAATTTCGTCTATCACAATCTACTACAGGTTTTACAGTACAAAGACGTAAATCTTCTTCCATGACGGTATAATCATCATCACCAGTACGTTTTTTATAAACAAGTTGATGATCTCTCAAACAGAACCATCTTCTATTCCATGTTTTAAATGCATTACTAGTTCTTTTAAATAAATAACCTTCCATCTTCGGATTACCAGGTATAGGCGAAGGAGTTAAATCTCTGTTATTAACATAAATATGTCTATTCTCCATCTCCTTTTCAAGTTTATTAGAGTCATCTCTCATTCTAACAAGATCCTCGCTAAGATCTTTTAAAAATGAATCCAAGTCTTGACCAAGATCACTACCTTGATGATAATAAGTTATACAAGCATGCATATAAGTAAGCAGAGAGCCCAATATTTCATGTCGTTTTCGTGTTTGTAACATCGTTAATGCATGTACATAATCTAATGCAGTATGGCGAAAACATGATCGTGTAGCTGATAAAATGTTCGAGGTTTCCTCGTATTCCGTGGGTCTTGATTTTGGAACTTGTGAATTACGATTTAAGGCTATATCTAAATCAGCAGATATTTTCTCAAAGTAATGACGTGTTTCCTTCACTTTTTTAATATCACTGTTAAATTAAATTAGACAAATAAATAATTCATCATTAATAACAATGATAAAATTATAATAAATAATTTACCTTTTCATAAATATATTCAGATCTTTGATGATAGTTCTAGATGCTTGATCTAATAATATACTGTGAAACTTATTCATTTCTTGCATAGAATGAATTAACTTATTTAAAAATGCCATTATATCTGGATCATTACTAAAATATAATGATAAGTCCCATAAGCTGTTGGTAAATTGACTGTAAAAATTAATTTATTTTATAATATGACTTTATAAAAATATAAGTACATAAAATGTCTTTTTTGTTTTTTTTTTCTTTTTTCTTTTTTTTTTTTTTTTTTTTTTTTTAAATGCACTGGATCTTGCTAACCTTTGTTGTCCAACAAAAGTTTTTCCAGTTTCAATCATCAGGCTACAGTTCTTTAATACCTATGATAATATAAACAATAATCGTTTAAAGTCATATTTATTTAATGAATATAATATTGAATAAGAAATATAATATTAATCATAACAATATTAATACCTTATCCAATTTTTGTTCCAAAATATCTATATTATTTTCAACTTCTTCAATGCAAGACCTAATAATGAAAGTTTAATCATTAATTGGATGATACTTTAAAACAATAATGATATTTATATGTTTCAAAAAATTGAATGTTATTTGAAAAAAAAAAAAATAATACATATACTTTGTTAATCATCTAAAATTAATTACAATGTAATACTCACCGAAATTTTGGTGTATCTCGCAAACACTCTTCGAATTCGATCAAAGGCTTCATTATAATGACTTTTATATCTGAATTTTAATAAGCACAGATTTGTTTGACGAATTACTATCTCGAGATTTTTCCCGTTTGTGATTTTCCATCAATCTTTAATATTCTATGGAAAAAAGTTTTAACGATAATTATGTTTCAACAAGTATCAAAGGACAACAAATTCTCCATTTTTCTGTCAAATACTACGAACGAAGTTAGAGGAAATTGCAACTTTTCGTCTTCCAGTGTTGACAACCTACGTAATTTCACAGATGTGCATCCTATGCATAGGTACAAGAGTGTATATAAATTTTTTTTAATAAATATAATAGAAGAATTAATGTAACAATTAACGAGAGTGTTTAGAATTAAATAAATAAAATATTGAATTATTTTTACAATGTTTACGTTTTAAACATTTATCGTATAACATGTGCCCAATTAGAAATATAATATCTAATTCAAATTAGTGATGAAATATTAATAATGGTAAAAAAAAAACATTGCACAAGAGAAATTATAATTTTTATCAAATAAGTATAGTTGCATGATCAAATATTTTTTAAAATAATATTAAAAATGACGAATTCGTTGTGTAAATGTAAAATAATATTATCTCTACTTATAATGGGCAATTTAACTTATAAGAAAGAAATTTTTTTGAATTAATTTTTAATTTTACCGCTCCTTGGTAACACTTGGCGACACTGACTAATTGCTAAAATTTCAAAAGTGTAGTTAAACCGTAGGATGAAAAAAAAAAAAATAAATTTGGAAAGAAAATTTCATTCTCTTTTACATTATACAAATTTGCAATAAATTTAGAATTCTTTTTATTTTCATTTCTTTTTTCTTTTTAAATTTTTAATCTTGTATTTACTTATTAAGTTAATACTTTTTAAAAAATGTAAACTTCATATATATATGCATACTTTTGTATACGTTCGAAGTTCAATCCATGCGCAATGAATTTGCGCATTTACGAAAAGGGTGAATAAGTGAAAAAATTTTGGTAAGATTTTCGGATAGTTAACTCAACGATGTAAGTTTGATATTTACAATATCATATATTATTTTAATTCGAGATAATTATTTAATAAGAATATGATAATTACATGTTTGCCTATACAAATGATTAGAAAACATGCATTACCTAACCTCTAGTATTCGAATCATATAATGTCTTATCATATAATATCTTATACATACATTTTATATAATGAAATATATGTATTTTTCATTTTAATTTCTATCTTTCCAATTATCTTAGTTTTTAATCTTATCTTGCAATCATAATTGATTATTATTATATTTAATATATTTTAAAAAAGAAAAGATATTGTTCTTAATGTTTTACTATGCATACATAATATAAATATTAATGAATATTTTAATAAATCTTTTATAAATAGATTCAAAATGACTGGTGGTACATCCACCGAAAAGTCAACAAGTAATCCTCTGGAACAATTTGTGCTGCTTGCAAAAACAGCTAAAGGTGCAGCAGCTTTGGAATTAATATGTCAAGCTGTAGAAACACCGGGAGTTCATGTCTTTGGTGAATTACTGGATATGCCAAATATAAAGGAATTGGAAAGTGGTCCATATGTTCAATATTGGAATACATTAAATTTATTTGCATATGGTACATATAAACAATATTTAGAGAATAAAGATAAGGTTCTGGAATTGACTCCTACGCAAAAAAAGAAGCTTCAACATCTTACAATTGTAACACTTGCAACTAAGTCTAAATGTATACCTTATTCTATCTTGCTTGAAGAACTTGATATAAAAAATGTCAGAGATCTAGAGGATTTAATAATAGAAGCTATATATGCAGACATAATACATGGTAAATTAGATCAAAAAAATTCTCAATTGGAAGTGGATTATGCTGGGTTAGGACGAGATGTTAGACCCGGTGATGCAGGAGTAGTAGCAGAAACTTTATCTGCTTGGGGTGAAGCTTGTGACGCTGTTTTAGCGTGCATCGAAGAACAAGTGACACGTGCAAATGTAGAAAAACAAAAAGCCACTTATCACAAAGAAAGAATACAACGAGATGTAAGTGCTATTCTGAACATATTATTAAAGATTTCTGATTAAATGAATTCATAATTTGTATAATTTTATTAAATATCTTTGTTAATAAATTCTAGATTGCCAATATAAAGAAATTGTTGGCTGCTCAAGCTGGTGGTGGTGGAGTACAAGAAGCTGATGTAGCAGGAGGTAGTTCTAGTGCAGGTGGCAGTGAATCTGGTAGAGAAGCTTTACCGGTGCTACCGGATCTAAAGAAAAAGCAACAGAAGGTGAAATGTCTCAGAGGCAGTGGTAAGTTTTGGAAGACCTAAAGTTATTTATCAACTTGTATACAACGTGTGACTTTCTTATGATAGGGTTGTAGTATATTGTGTGCCTTGTACTGCATTTATTTTGCAAACTTCTATTGAAATTTATATTTCTTATAACATGCAATGATTTTCTATTATTAATATATAAATATGTTAAATTGGAAAGGGGAGGGGAGGGAGGGAGATAAATATAGATAGAGAGAGAGAGGAGAGAGAGAGAGAGAGAGAAAGAGAGAAAGAGAGAAAGAAAGAGGGGGCAGAAAGAGAAAGAGAGAAGAGCAAAAGATCTTTATCTCTTATTGCGAATAGTTATTATTATATTTATAAAATGGATAAATGACAGGAACTACTTAAAAGTTTGCAAAGATGCATGTACAAATTCTTGAATATATACATATACACACACACATAAAATTTGTGTGGAATATAATTTATTGTGTAATATTAATCTTAATTTGTAAATTTTGTTTTTGCAATAACATTAGAAATTGAAACTTCTAATTTCTTAAAATGATTTAATTTAAGATAAAAATAAGAGGATTTAAATATGGGGTAGTACTAAAGAACGAATTTATTAATTAAGTGCAATATTGTGATTGAAAAAGTTAAAAATTATTCATATATAATGATGAAGTATATATTAGTATAGATTCATGGACTGATATGAATAAGTAACATCTATGCACATTATGTGGGATTCATTATAAAAAAAAAAAGTACGCAAATACCACTGAAAGATGTAATTGTAATTATATGATGGGAAAATTATCATATATGAGATACATCGAAAGTCTACTTAATGATATATACTGATTGACCCACTGATAGTGACGTATCTTTGGTAAAATTCATATCTTGGTTTGCATGTTTTAATTTGGCAAATTTGAGAATTGGCTTCTATGAAGCGAATGAACATTGCAATTTTCATTCTTGGTTCTTAAACAGCACTGACACAAATGTATGTAATAGTGAATGATTTGGGAAGTCAACGAGTTAGTTTGCTTGTTGTCCAATAAATGGCACAGATTTAGTGATGAACATGTCATGATTATTCATGCGCAAAATTTTTTATCTAACAATAAGACATTTTTTTTTTTTCTAGGAAGACAGAATATATTCTGTGGGATTTAAAATGTTTAGAAACTTGTACAGTTCATTAATACTATCAGTATTAATACTACAGTTCATTAATACATATATCATTTTTTTTTTTATTCAGACCAAAGCTTATTTAGATTGATAGAATTTATAGTCCACATCTGATATTGTACAACTATTGTTATCCAATCTAAAAATAGCATGTCCAAATGATTGATTAGTGTTCGTTCGGTCATATCGAGATACCTCATTTTTTTATGTGCTGAAATTTGATACAGATACAAAGTCTTTAAATTGTTTAGTGTTCGGAGAAATGTGTAATTAGATCAGCAGATAGTTTTTGATGAAAGGTTCTATGTCAAGAAGGGTAAAACCTCAACACCATTGATGTAGTTTAGCTAATACAAATGTCAGTATAATTTTAAAAGCGTTGTAATTGCTAATGGAATAAAAAGTAATTTATTTTAGTGAGGCTTTTCTATTTCTCTAATCCCCTGGTGCCTCTCCTTTATGTCCACAGAATGAATAGTCATTAAATCAGAGTTTTCATAGGTTTCTCAAGGATCAGTCTTATTATTATTTGAGTGATGTAGAAGATTCATCAATTTTAATAGATTATAGAATTTGATAGTATTTGGCAAGAAATATAGAGGATGATAGAGAGAGAAGTTTGAAATACATTTAGCTTTCCGATGGTGTCCTTTTATTTCAAATCTTTCCAGATTATTGTTTCTATTTAATATACATTTTATTAATAGACAATAGTAGTCTTCGTATTAGTGATAGTGCTGATGAACTAAGGAAAGAGTGCGCCATTAATTATTAATAAGTTGAGGTGTGAATCATATTGAATTGTTCCTGTCCATTCGTTAATACTTAAAGTTTATCCTCAAGATAATCATATTCTTCTTCTTCTTTTTTTTTCTTTTTTTTTTTTTCTTTTGGTGTTCTTTAACTCTCTTTTAACGTTGTATATTTATTGAAAAGTTACAAACCATAAGACTGATCGGCATTTTCAGGATCTACAGACACATTTTTAGGATCTACTGCGGCATTTTCAGGATCTACAACGCCATTTTCAGGATCTTCTACGTCGCGAACTGATGTCGATCGGCCGTCGGTGAAGAAATTGGGGTGATCGGAGAACGAGTTAGGGTGATTAAATTAGAGGAAAACACATATGGGGATTTCGTTCGACGGTGTATCTCGACGTCTCTATTATATATAAATTTTATACTTTAACAAATAAATTTCATCTTTAAAATGTTTCATATATATTTATTGTAAGTTGCAACACTTTTGGTGTGCACGCATAACAAATAAAAACTATACTAAGAGTAAGGATTCTTTTAATCTCTTGTTTCACCGATAGAGAAAGACCAACGTTCGGTGAAATTTGGATAACAAGATAAATGCAGACGTCAAAAAATGAATTTATTTGTTAACTTATTCTTCTTATTTTATTATTTCTTCTTTCTTTCAGAAACATACTCACATCATTCGTCATTTTTTTCTTTCTTTTTTATCTTTATCCCTCTCTTATTTTTCTTTCTTTTTTTTTTCTTTTTTTTTTTTTTTTTTCTTTTTTTAATTCGAAAAGTTTCAGATAAACGTAACGAAATCACAGAATGATTTGAATCGATTTGCGTCGAGGATTCGTTGTAAGGCGAATTTAAAATAACAAGCATTCGCGAATAAAAATTTTTTCGATATACACATATGTATGTATGTATGTATGTATGTATGTATGTACGTATACGATTAAAAGTACAATTAAAATTCTATCTCGTTCGCATTATAAATTAGAAATGTTTCGTAAGATCTAATGAGAATGCATTTCCTATATGTATTTACAAATTATCTTTTGGTTTCTCCTTTATTTTTCTACAACGAATATATTTCTTTTTAAATGTTTTACAATGTCAAGGAAAAATTCTTGGAAAGATCAATGCTCGTTAACGTTATAGATCATTTTTCTTTGAATTATTTCATACCTATTGTGTTTGCATATAACTCTGATAAGAATAAGCATATTGTTTTCTAAGTCAGAATGTAATATCCTTAATTTTTAAATGTTAACATCGATTATATATATATATATATATATATATATATATATATATATATATATATATATGTATATATTATATACAAAGTGTTTCTCTTTTATATACAGAAAATGAGAACAATAGATCTTTATCGCCGCTATGGATATGGCACGGGAATCAGTTTATACAAATATTACAATTATTTTCAAAGAAATATATCCTAATTATATATATATATTTTTTGGCAACATTCTAGAATAAAACATATCTACGTATATGTTTTATATTTTCTCTATCTTTTTTATTTCGCCTTTCTCTCTCTCTCTTTCTTTTCTCTCTCTCTCTCTCTCTCTCTCTCTCTCTCTCTCTCTCTCTCTCTTTTTTTTCCTCTCTCTTTCTCTTTCTTTTCTTATTATATAAATCGATCAATTCGATTCAATATCGACAAATATTTACAAGTGTAATTCTTTCAATAATATTAGCATAATTGTGCATGATATTATGGCATGAATTGTGGAACGCAGGAGAAGATTTTTCTCTTATATATTATATACACAGAAGAGATACAAAATTTTATTTAGTTACGTCTAAATCACAGAGCAACTTAGAGCATCGATCTCTTCGAAAGTGTGACTTCGTGTTATTTATTATTTATTATTTATTATTTATTATTTATTATTTATTATTTATTATTTATTATTTATTATTTATTATTATTTATTATTATTATTATTATTATTATTATTATTATTATTATTATTATTATTATTATTACTATTATTAGTTAATATTTCGATTTATTCACTTTATTAAATCTTTTTCTTATCAGATTTATATAGATGTTGAAAATTCATTTGGCGATTTACAAACGCCTCATGTCTAATCATTGATATATACGTATGTATTTACGCGTCCATTCATCATCACAGTCACCTTTAAATTCTAAATGATGAAACATTAATTATTAGATTTATTTCTTTTTAATATTTACAAATCTGTCCAATTTTTTTCTATGGTCCATGATTTCTTTTCTTTTCCTTTCTCTTTGTTTTTTTTTTTTTTTTATTTTTTTTATTTTTTTCTCTTTTTTTTTTTTAACGCAGGATAAACAGATTCTTTATATATAGAAAGATTGAATTATTAAGAAAAACTTGTTAGATGAGATTTCTTTTATATTCAAATCCACTATATTCATTGGAATATTTACTTTTTCATTGGAAAAATCGATTTTCTGTTTTTTTTTTCCCCATATATTTTCATCGAAAATTTTTTAATGAAAATTTCGTCCATCATTAATGCAATAAATGACACTTTTAGAATTTTTCTAAAGTCATGAAAAAAATTGCTCGTCATATAATTAATGTCCTATAATTATTTCGTTTTACAATTATCTAAGAGTATTGGATTCTTTTTGTTTAGACTATTACAGGCTTCTTCGAAATCGGTTTTAAATTAGCCGCAACGATTGGCATTTCAACGATATCGTTTTGCTATAAAGTAACATCCTTTTGATTGACAGGTCCATTTCCTATTTTCGTATTATTCGTTTGTCTCGTTGTTGTCGCATTTTCTTTCGATTCTTTGTCAATACGATGAACACCATCGTTCGTTTCCTTTTCGTTGTTATTCGATTGGGTTTGCGTTGCACGTGAAACAAAAGTTGGAGCCGATTTTCCATTCTTCCGTTCCTTCAGTTCTAACTCGTAATCTTTAAATATAAAAATATTTGGAAATTAATTAGACAAACTGTTTGTTAATGTATATTAATATAATTTATATACATTATTTTTATAAATAATTTTAATAATGAATATAAATATAATTGAAAAAGTATATATACATTAAATATTTTTAAAATATTATATATATATATACATGTGTGTATGTGTATGTGTGTGTGTGTGTGTGCGCGCGCGTGTGTGTGTATGTGTGCGTACATGTATAAATTATTTAATTTGAAAAGAATTTATATTTCATTTGCATTGATATAAAAAGAATCTTATAAATAAAATATATATTTGTATAGATAGGAAAATATAAACAATGGATGTTTACATTCGCTTTGCGTAGAACAATCCATAGTTTTGATGATATGTTTCTTAACGGCTTTGTTTTGATCACAAGTCACAGCGGTTAATGTAACAGGAGCCATCATGCTCGAAGCATTTGTACCAGTTACAGCTGAGCTTTTGGTAGTATTGTAAGGTCTTGATGGCATTATATTCTGTCGAACGTTTCTCTCCGGTCGAATTAAAATAATATATAACTGTAATTAAGAAATTTTATATAAATCAATTTGATCAATTTATTTAACGATACTTTTAGAAATTATATATATGTATATATATATATATTTTTTTTTTTGTTTACCTTTGGTGTGAACAGACATGCAATTGTCACCGTAGCAGAGAGACTGATGGTCACCGACATCGAAGTGATCCTCAATGCGACATGATTACCAGTACCAAAATAAAGTGGAACAAAGGCTAGCCATATAACACAGGTAGTGTACATAGTAAAGCCTAATTAAATGATTATTATGTTATTTATATTTCATTTATTATATAAACTGTGTTAACTCTAATCTATCTTGTGTGTGCTTTAAGAAATAATAATAATAACAATAATAATAATAAAAATAAACGAGCTTACACATAATGTCTAATTGAAAAATTAATATTATATATATATATATATATATATATATATATATATATATATATGCATGTTTTAAAATATGATTAATAATAATAATAAATATTTCTTAATAAACATCCTCACAAATTTGTATTTATTTAAATTAAAAAGCTTACACGTAATATCTAATTGAATAATTTATATGTTTATCTGTATTTCTTCTAGATAATCATCGCTTACTTACCAATATATTTACTTTCGTTAAAAGCTTCAGGAATTTTTCTCGTGAGTACCGCATAAATGGTGCAAACAACTATCAGCATAATAGGATATGCAAAGGCAATCATATAGCTAGCATCGATATAGCTATTGCAAACAAGCAAATTATCCTCTTTAGTAGGATAATGATGCATCGCTTTAGCTGGATCGATAACAATCCATACACCGTTAATAAGTATCTGTACCGCTACTAAACCGGAACAAATGAACAATTGAGATCTTGGTGATATAAATGACGGTCTCTTGGCACTGTGTTTTCCAGCGTTAAAAATTCTTGATATTCGATTTGTTTTTGTCAAAAGTGCTGCATAAACTACGGTAAAGCAAAATCCAGCACCGAATCTGTAGGAAATGATTTGGTTAGATAGAAGATCTATCTATGTCCGAATGAAAGATCTTACATGTACATTTGAAAGCTATGTATATACATATGTCGGATAGCATCGGAAAGATGCGTCGAAGTTAACTTACCTTTGAATACTGCAAACAAGATTGGTAGGTCTGAGTACTAGAGCAAACGTGACCAGATAGCAGAGTAAGATACCAGTGAGAAGGACGTAAGAAAGTTCTCGACCGGAAGCACGAACGACAGGGGTGTCGTTATGTTTTAGGAATACACCGCAGACGAATAAAGTCACCTAAGAAATTCCAAAAAAAAAAAATAAAAAAAAAAAAGAAAAGAAAAAAAAGAAAGAAACAGAAAAAAATATTTAACACCCTTTTCGAACTATTTATTTGACCTTTGAAACTTATTTTTGTTACATATTTTATTGCAAAAACATGTTATAATAATATGTTATTGATTATGTTGATACTCGGATATAGATACAACTACGATAAATATTTTATCAATGAACTATTTTTGATTTTTAATGAAAAGATAAATATTTACTAGTATTCCAACAGAGGAGAAAGACATAGCACCAATGGCCCATCCACTTTCGAGTCTTAAAAATTCTTCGGGTATTTTGCTGCAAGTAGAATGAGTTTCGTCTGGTACCGTTCCTTGTTCACAATTCTTACATTGTGTTTCATCGTTTGGATGTCTTATCTGTTTAAAACATACGAATAGAATTAATTTACAATTTTTAACTCTTTTCACATTACATCGGTACGATTGATTTTATAATTATTTAGATACATTTGTAGGAAAATAATTTAAGATAGAATTTTTATAATAGTTCTTTTCTTCTGTTTGCTTTTTTGTTTTTGTTTTTTTTTTTTTTTCTTTTTCGTTATAAATATCGGACTACCTGATATTGAGAACAATTAAAACAGTGCCAACAGCAACTTTCACCCTCGACATATTTTTTCGCTTGGCCTACTTCACATGGCAAGGAACAAACGCTTTCAGGTGTTTGATTGTGTCCCAGCTTAAATTGAACCACTGGAACAAATACATGAACGAGCACACTGTATCCAATGTGTACGGTGTTCCTAAAGGGATAGCAAATTGAGAATGTTCTCTGGAATCCTTTGCAATGGTAGCTTACTAGACATGTTTAAATGTAGTACTCCCTCGAGATATTTGCCAACGCGTATCCACTTGTAGACACCAGGTTCGGTTTGTTTGAAGTGTATAATGTTATATCTTGCCGGTCCATCACCATTCTTATCGAATCGAAATTTATCACCGCTCAAACCTTTGAAAAAATAGACATTCGAAGGATATATAAAAGAATTCATAATAATTGTTTTTCGTTTTGTTATATTAGATCGGCCAAATAAATTAATAATATTGAAATTATATTGAAATAAATAAAATTATATTTTATTTAAATCATATTTTATTTAAAATATCGACACTTATTTATTTACCAACTGAATACTACAATATATTAATAATTTATATTGTTTATTTAGATATAAAATATTGAACGTTCTAATATTAATTATTCGTCGATTCAACGTATATCTGTATTCATTGTGCATTCCTTTTAGGAATGCAATGCTTTTAGGAAACTAATTCTTGGAAATCAACGTAACTCACCTTCGAAATCCACTTTGCGTAGATACTTTAAAAGCTGTTCTCCTTCGGTTGGTTTCATTTCATCACACAATCCAACTTTATTACCGCAATATTTTGTATGCATGTCTCTGTGAAATAGGATAATAATTTTTTTTTCTTTTTAATCGTTTCCTGTCATATTTAATTAATCAATTTTGTTTAATCGTACCGAAATGCATAGGCAAAGGCCATTACTGCGTCCGATACGAATTGCAATTGATCCTCGAAGACTGTGTTCTCTTTGGTAAGTCGTTCCTGGGTGTTACAAATATTCGTGTATTTCTTATTGTATGGTGTCAAAGAAGAGTTCGGATAACGGCATTGAAAGTGATCTTCCCAAAATTCTGAAACGTTAAAAGGAAATTTTATAAAATGTCTTTTTATCATTTACAAAAGGAAAAAGAAAGAGAAAGATAAAGGATTGATCGATTTACAAGTATATAATTATCTGTATATAACATTTCGTTTGTCAGTAAGTAATTTTTGAATTTGTGACAAAAAATATCGAACACAATATTATTTGCTTCGATATAAAAAAAAAAAAAAAAAAAAAAGAAAAAGAAGTAAAAATTATCATCCTTATTGGCCAATTTGACATAAACAAATTATTTACTCTCTTATTAAATACACGTACTCTTCTTTCATTGACACACATGGTCCAGATATTAAGAAAAATAAACAACAAAATAAGAGATTGAAATTGGTATATAAAAAGTTGATAGAGAATAATAATGATATTATAAAATGATGATAAAGATGAATGATTTGCGAGAAAGGAGAGGGGGCAAAAGAGAGAGAGAGAGAGAGAGAGAGAGAGAGAGAGAGAGAGAGAGAGAGAGAGAGAGAGAGAGAGAGAGAGAGAGAGAGAGAGAGAGAGAGAGAGAGAGAGGGAGAAAGAAAGAGATCAAAGAGGAGGAAGTGTTCGTTAATTAAAACTGTGCGGTATACGTCACGCAGCCGTATCACGTAGCACGAAAAGGAACGAAACGATGGATGAATACCTAGGTACATAGCGTGGTAGCACGTAAAGCTATTTCGTTTTAAGGAGTTGCCGGGAAATGTTTGACGAGGGATATACCTGCCTAACTTTCACTTACCAACAAACCAGGGGTTTCTCCTGTTGTTCTCGACAGTGAGATTTAGGAAGTATTCCTCGAAACCCCTGACAGGATTCGCTTGGGGTTGAACTGACAGTGTACCTTCAACTTCTGCTTCATTACCATTGCTTACCAAACCTCGTGCGCTCCATCCATCGCTGCCTATCCAAGAAAACGCACCAGTCGCGTTACAACGTCTGACAGCTCTCATAACTCCTGCTACTTCTTGGTCCGATCCAAATATTATACAACCTGTTATAAAAGGAACATATTTTTTTTTGTATTTTTTTGGGTTTCTTTTTTTGTTTTTTTTTTGTTTTCTTTTTTCTTTTTTTTTTTTCTAAGATCTAATCGTCTGCATACATTGCCTTGTCGATTTCTTCCTACAGTTCGTAATAATTTATATGTTGTCATTTTTTTATATCGTTATTTAAGATCTTATTTAAGATCTTCTCTTATTGATTTCTTATTGAACTTTGTTATAACTTATGTTATCTTGAGTCAAGTTGTAAAATATAATTGGTAAGAGTTATAAATAGAGTTAAGATTTATACGCGGCTTTGTTGGTTTCTTGCTGAAGTTTATAATAATCAATTTTATAATTTTATTAAGTTTTAAATGTTATATTGCATGTAGTGTAGTTAATATAGTTGTAGTTTGAATTTAATAACTTTATTATCTTTTTAACACGAATTAAATTTGCTCGAGTCTGCCTATCTCATTTTAGTAATAGTTTACACGTATCGAATTTTCATTTATCGGATTATTTTCTACGAAGTTTAAATGCATAGCGTTAATAATTAATTAAAAGAGATGTTAAAAAAGAAAAAAGAAAAGGAAAAGCGAAAGTATTCTTCGTAAAATATATACGGGATGATCCTTCATTGCTTAAATTCCAGTGGGAATCGATCCTGTTGGTTAACAGAGCCGTCATCAATGTAGGAACGAACCCTCTACTTTATGGAATACACGAGCCAATTTTAAAATACCTCATATATCTTATTTATACAGCGCAATATACCAGAATTACTAGAGCTTGAAAATTAACATTCCTATGTGCTTTTTACAATTTTCTTATTTTTTTTTTTTTTTCTTTTATATCGAGCGACTAAATTCCCGTTTAAACATTTGCATTTTGTATATATCGTATATTGAATTTTTCAAAATATTCGTAAAAGATATATTTTTGTCAAACAACTCAAATGTATTGTTTCTATAATTAATGTGAAAATACATGCTTTTATTTCGATATTCACGCATTATTTATTAATGCGTGAATATCGATAATATCGAAATAATACTTAAATGTATAATAATTATATTGATATTATTTACTGCATTCATTTTTTCATTACATTTTTTCATTACAACGACCGCTTGAAAAACGTTTTATCCCTTTTTTCCCCCTAGCAGGTATTAATACGCGTTATATTCATTTTACTTATGTACAGGGTGCAATGGGGTAGTACGCGAAGCAATTTATTTCCGTAAAAAAGTCATTTTTACACAGGCTCATCCTTGTGATATCTTTTCTCTCCATTAGTCTATTTTATTTTTATTTCCTTTTTTTTTTCGGCTTCTCTATCCGTTCAGTATTGCGAAAATTGAAAATTATAGTCTTTCGCATTTCCTAAAGTTATAATGCATCTGGTTTTATATCTTTTAATTTATGCGCAGTGGATGATATACATTCGCTTTTATAAAATACGAGTTACAATCTAATGAGATTAATTATCGAATTGAATTTATTCCGATATAATATTTTCACATAAAATGAAGGAAGTGAAGAGAGAATTTCATTTTCTTATTTCTAGGAAAACGTAATATTTCAGTTGATTTTCTAAATTAAGGAATAACATCTATTTTTAACAGCAAACTTTCGTGTTTGTCTCATTTATGGAACCAACCATGACGAGATAGAAGTTGAATTTCAAGGAGTTGCAATCAAAGGAGAGAGGAAAATCGTACGTGAAAGTTGTTTAAAACTAGTCTCCCTTCCTTCTGGGCTCATTGTAATTTCGTCTTTATATATACGAACATCGAGTATAATTGAGTAGATTTTTATAGATACTGAATGATTCCTCTTTCTTTTTTTTTTTTTCTACGACGCAATAGAATTTTATTTCTATTTTATTTGTGTGTGATTCACGATATATTTCGTACATGCACATATTTTTTATATTATCCTATTCTTATCAGAGCAAAGAATTTCATTTATGTTGACAATAAGATATTTTATATATATATATATATATATATATACCTCGACCTACTTACGAGTTTTTATTTTACATATTATATTAATTTTTTATTAAACGTTGTACTATATTAAATTAGTCAATAAGTAATGTCGAAATTTTTAATTAAATAATATTGAATATATTCGGTATAAAATATGGAATATTTCGATATTAATTATTAGCTATAATATAATATTAGGTTGGTCGATAAGTAATGTTGGAATTTTTGATAAAAAATAAGGATACAGTGTTGTTTATTTATTAAATATAAAATAATACAAATTTTGACATATACACTATTTATTAACCAATCTAATATTG